TTGGGTTGGGTTGGGTTAGGGTTGGGTTGGATTTGGGTTGGAAAGGACATTTTGGCCAGAGTTTGGGGCAATCCGCTGGGTACCACGGCCTCATCATGCATAAAAGGGATCCAGCACAGAGGGCTTCCTGGAGGAGGCACATCTTACCAAGAGTGAATCCACCGCTCTGGGGAGCTGCAGGCCGCCATTGCTCAGCCCTCTGTCTGCTCGCCTCCTCCCTGGTGGGCGCGCTGAATGAGGGCAGAGCGGACGCTAAGGCAGCCCTTGTGCATGCAGAACTTGATTGGTTCAGCACTGCCGAAGGGGGGACGATCCTAGCAGGCTTCCCCGAGGAAGAAGCAGGGGAGCAGGTGCCAAAGTCGTGTCCACAGAGCCTGAGGAAGGTGTTGATCATCGTCTGATTTTTTAAAAAACGAGAGAGGCAGAGACCAGCGTTTATGCGAGGTTCCCAGGATGGAACTGGTCGCCGTTAGTTCTATTCTGTGTCATTGGTCAGAACTCACTCAAGGGCAGCTGGTTTTTAACTGGTCCATCTCCTGTGGTTCTAGCAACAAAAATACCCCATGTGGGAGGCATCACCCAGTGGGAATTCTTAGCTCAGTCCCGGAGGGTAGAACTCCACAATGAGGGAACCGTCAGCCTTCCTCAAAAGGCTCTCCGGGAAGGTGTTTCTCATCTCCTCCAGCTTCTGGTGGTCTCAGACACTCCTTGGCTTGTGGCCCCATCACTCTAATCTCTGCCTCCGTCTTTATCCAGTCAACTTCTCTGAGTCTCTCCCCTTGGTGTACAAGAGGAGGGTCCGCCCGACTTCACTGGGAGTCCTTGGGTGATGGAAACAGCCGAACACTCAACTACTAGGCAAAAGGTTGATGGTTCCAGCCCAGCCAGGGGCACCTCGGAAGAAAGGTCTGATGATCTACTTCTGAACAAGTCAGCCATTGGACCCCACTGTAAGGGTTTTTGGGGAGCGATGTGGAATTAAAGATCCAATTGGTAAAGTTTTAGAAGCAGGCTTTATTGAGAAGCTTGCAGACGGGTTCAGTAACTCAGGTATTGAGCTAATGAAACCGCGCGAGGGGAATTTCTGGCTGCATTTTTATATCCCCTGGTGGCAGGCACAGCTGCACACAGGGACTTCAAAGGGATGCGCTCATTAATTTTATCTATAGGTCCGGGATGGGTGGAATAAACACATCTTCAAGGGATGCAGGGAAGTGGTCGTTAATCTTATCTATAGGTACCGGGGCAGGTGAAGTAAACATATCTTCAAAGAACATTCTTTCTCGGGGATATCTGGTTCTCAGAACTGGTGATTTTCAGCGAGGGGAGGGGAGGCCGATGTGAGGGAGGCCCATGAGAGGTGAGTTCTGAGAACCAAGAAGGTGCCGGATTCAAAATGGAGTCCCTTGTGCCAAGACCAGGCACCCACCAAAGGGCATAGTTCGACTCTGACCACATGGGTCACCAGCCGCCAGGCTTGACTGCATGGCAACTTGATTTGTTTTCTCCGTGCCAGAATGACCTCATGTGAACTTCAGCCATTACACCGCCAAAACCCTCTTTCCAAACAGGAGTCTCAGTAGGCGGCACCAGCAAGTGAGCCCTGGGCTGCTCACCGAAAGGCTCGTGGTTACAGTTTATGCCCACAGGGATGCTGGGAAAAAGGCCTGGCGGTCTGCTCCTGGGAGGTCACAGCCTCTGTGGGGTCCCCGTGAGTCGGGGTGACTGTGACAGCCCTGGGGAGCACTGTTCTTCCCCGGCATCCCTGAGGTGCCCGTGAGTTGGAGCTGACCCAACAACATCTAAAAACAGTGAGAAAACAAGGACCCCAGGGAAGGAGATGCGATGAGAGGGGAGAGGGAGCCGGAGGAGCTGGCAGCCTGGGCCAGGGAGGTGACCAGCTGAGTCCGAGACAGAGGGGAGGGAGGGGAAGTCAAGACTGGCCAGAGGTGGAAGCAGTGGGCGGTGGTTCCAGGGCAGGACATCTAGGCGTGGGCAGGGAGACAGAGCTGGGGACGTGAAAGGCAGAGTCTGGAGGGGGGGCCAGCTCCACCTCCGCCCCCCTACTGTGCCCTGGTCCTGACACCGAGTGTGGCCCTGCGTGACCGCGTGGAGCTGCCGCCCTGCATGTCCAAGGCTGTCCTCTGTCCGAAAGTAGACTGGCTGCCCGTCTTTCTCTGTGGTCTGAACTGCTGACCTTTCCGTGAGCGGCACATGGCTTCACGGCTGCATCAACAGGACTCCGCGCCCCTCCTCTAGCTCACCCCAAACCCACCCAACCTTGGCCCAGCCAGTGCCTTCTGTGCAGGGGGTTACCGAGCAGGGAAGGAGGGAAGTGACTCAGGGACGGAAGAGGAAGTGGAAGGACAGCTTGGGGTGCAGGTCTCCTCCTCTGGCCTCCTCCAGGAGCGCAGGGGACCTCAGCGTCCACCTCCCCCACCCTGGGTGGGGAGCTTGTGGGGTGGGGGTGGGGGGAGTGCAAACTGAATGTGCTCAGCTCTAACCAAAACGTTGGAGGTTCAAGGTCACCCTTGAACAGCCCTTGCCAACCTTGCGGGGCACAGTTTTGCCTGACACAGGGCCAACTCCACAGCTACGGGGGTGGGGTGGGGGGGCATTCAAATACGGTCACATCCACAAGGACTGGGATTAGCACTCAGACATTTTTTATTCTTTATTTTTTTATAAATCATTTCATCGGGGGCTCTTGCAGCTCTTATAACAACCCACACATCCATTGTATCAAGCATGCTTGTGCATACGTTGCCATCCTCCCCTTCTAAACATTCGCTTTCTACTTGAGCCCTTGGTATCAGCTCCTCTTTTTTCCCTCCCTCCCCCACTCTTCTACCCTTGGGACCCCTTGGTAAATGCTAGATTATTATCACTTTTATATCTTACACCATCCACTGCCTCCCTTCACCCACGTCTCTGTTGTTCATCCCACTGAGGGAGTGGGTAATATGCCGATCATTGCAATCAGTTCCCTCTTTCTCCCCCTTTTGTCCCCCACCTTTCCCCTACCCTCCTGGCATCGCCACTCTCATTATTGGTCCTGAGCAGCTTATCTGTCCTTGATTCTCTGTGTTGCAAGCTCTTGTCTGTACCAGTGTACATGCTCCAGCCTAGCCGGATGTGTAAGGTGGAACTAGGGTCATGATGGTGGGTGGGTGGGGGAAGCATTAAAGAACTAGAGGAAGGTTGCGTGTTTCCTCCATGCTATACTGCCCCCTGGCTGGCTCGTCCCTTCCTGGGAGCCTTCTGGGAGGGGCTTAGACAACTCTTTATAGAGCTTCCAATTCAACTGTGAACCCCTGGTGCCCCAGGACTGGGTAGGGGGTGGGCATGCGTGGCGACACCGATGAACAAGCAGCGGGTTGAAGGGGCAGAAGCTGAAGCAGGGGCTGGAGGACAGTCTGGGGTTGGCACCTGAGAACCCACCCACGCTGGCCCCTGCAGGGACTCACCCCCACCCCATGGCCCCCACCCGCAGGGCAGCAAGGAGCGGTTCCACTGGCAGAGCCACAACGTGAAGCAGAGCGGCGTGGACGACATGGTGCTGCTGCCCCAGATCACTGAGGACGGCATCGTGAGCAACCTGCGCAAGCGCTTCATGGACGACTACATCTTCGCATCCTTGGCTGCGGGCTGGGCGGGGGAGGGGAGGGGGAGGGAGGGGGGCAGGGATTTGAAGGAAGGAGGGGTGGAAGACAGACCAAGGAATGGAAGGATGACATGTAGGTGGAGGGAGGGGTGGTATGTGGATGGATGAGGGGTGAAGTGAGGCTAGATGGAGAGAGGGGTGACCTGGGGCTGGATGGAGCGATGGTGTGTGGATAGGTGGAAGCACGGAGTGAGAATGGATGGAGGCATGATGGATAGAGGGATGGAGGGATGAGGGATGGAGGAATGATGGATGGATAGAGGGATGGTGGATAGAGGGATGAGGGATGGAGTGATGATGGATAGAGGGATGGAGGGATGATAGATAGAGGGATGAAGGAATGATGGATGGGCAGAGGAATGATGGAGGGATGATGGATAGAGGGATGAAGGAATGATGGATGGATAGAAGGATGGTGGGTA